AGCTCGAACCTGTGCCTCTTGAACCCCCTCAAACTTCACTGAGCTGTGCCAGAACACCTCATGTATGTGCGGGAAACCCTGCCTGGTCCAAGCCATGCCCCTCATGTTGAGCCACCATCATGAGGCCTTACGATTCCAGTGCTGGACCATGGCACAGCTTGGCCAGTGTGCCTATATCATAACTGGCATCAGGTGCCTGTTTTTTCCAGGAATGAAACAGCTAAGTAGATGCTGCTCTTCTAGAATGAAGACTCAGCATTTTCACTTAATTTATGACTAGGTCCAGATTAGACCCCAGTTTCTTTAGAGGTAAAAAGCAACTGAGCTGATGTGCAGTTAGGAAAACCCCATGGCAAGTCACCTTTTGCTTTAAAATAAAAAGTAAAGTTCTCTGGGTTAGGAAAGGTCTCGTTACAGCTGTTTGATAGGGGCAGACTGGTGGTAAGGCAAGGTGCTGTTAGGAGATGTGAGAGCGTGCATCCAAACCACAGAGATCTGAGAGGTCTAGAAGTGCCACAGAAGGATTTGTTCCTGGACCATGAAGGCCATCCTTGTTCTGCTCTCCTGTGACCCCTCCTGGAGGAAGTGTGGAGACTTGACTTTGGAGAAGGCTGTGGTCAAGTGCTCTCTACACTTGGAGGTGAAGCTGTCATTAGGAGCAGAGATGGAAGACGAATAGTAACCCTTATGGCTGTAAAAAAGAAAGACAACTTTGAGAAAAAATACCCACTCTCCTGCAAAAAGGGAAAAGAAATCAGTCCCATGAAGCCAGGTTACAAAGAAGACGGAGTCAAAGTAAGTATGCAGTAGTTCTCAAGCCTTTGCAGAGATCTCAGTGCAGTTCTGGGTACGCCAGGCATGGAGGTGTTCCGAGTGTGTGAGAGCAAACGGTTCTTCTCACTGTACGGCCTTCTCACCTGACCTCCACCCAGAATCCTCTTACACACTTGCACAGAGAAAGCCTGTGTCTCCCAGAGTCTTTTCCAAGCATTTTCCTTGGTTCATTAGGTGATAATAGAAAGTGATTTTTCCCCTGTCATCTTGAGCAATCAGAAGCATTAAGAATAAGAGCCGAAGCCTGAAAGCCTAAATGAGAGGGTTTGATGGGTATGTGTATCTGCCTCCTTCATTACAGCAAGAAGCAAGGACGGCTCCCAGAGCTTGCATTTCTTGAGACTAAATAGGCGAGAAGCAAGGACCATGGTCAGGTAGTGTCAAGAGAAAACTGAGGTTTGGGGGTTAGATTCCATTCCCAGATCTGCTGAAGCCCAGAGAGGCAGTTTCCTCCGCCTTTACCGGTATGAAGCAGTCCATTAGTGGACTTTTTGTAGAGATGGGTACCTGTCAGCTGAGAGCTGAGGGGGGCAGAAAATGACACCTGTAAGATCTCAGGCAAATCACTTGGTGCCAAATGTGAACTCGTCCCCTTTATTAGCCTGTATTTACTCACGGTGGGACTGAGTAGCTGCATAACCCCAGCGTGAGTACAGCGCTGACGTTCTGGACGTTAGCCTCTTTACGCTTCAGTTTCTCCACGAGCAAAGTGAAGCTAAAAGCAGCTTCCTCAGAAGGGTGCTGGGCGGTGGTGTGCTCTCTCCCTGTTCGTGAGATGGTCTGAGCGATGGTGCTGAAGTGGCGGGGGCTATTACTGCTCAGAAGCTGCTCTGCTAACTCTGTCGATGGCCGAGTGTCACAGCAGCAAATCGGTTTCTCACTGTCTGGAAGGCAGGTTCAGCTTGCCACCACCTCCCCCTGTAAGAAAGCAAGTACTGAGCAGCCCACCTTGGGACAAAGCTAAGAACTTTTTGTTGTGGGAACTCTGACAGGACTCATACAGAACTCACTGTTCTGCCACCTTGCAAGACTTGTGGGGCATCTTTCTGGTACTGTGTTTAGGGGGATCATTTATTTTTATTTCCCTTCTAGGTAGGAGTCTTCCTCCACAGTCGATCCTGCTTAGCGTCCAAAGGTAGGGAACTCCATCTTGGTGATGTGACAAATCTCGAACCACCACGCAACTGAAATTTTGGGCCGCGTTGCCCTCCCGGGGCAGTTTCACCTGGACCTTGCGCCATGCCCGCCGCAGCTCCTAACGGCAAACAAACTCACGCCG